CATTACTAAGGACACGGCTGCGTCGCTGGAACATCAACAAGAAATGGACCTACACTTCTATACCGGCCTCCGAATGCTAAATCAGCGTGTAGATGTTATGCAGGAAGAGCTGGACTTATTGGTGGCTCTTGCAGGTATGCCATGCTTACTTCAACCCGTGTCCACTTGTGTTACTCCCTTTAAAGCAGCAGAATTTTCTCATTTAGCCAATGACTCTAAAGCTTTAGGAAAAATGATAAATACTGCTTGGAATAGCAATTTCACTCTGCTGTTAGATAAGCTGCGACGTGATATATTACGGTTAAGGAAAACCTCTCCTTCTGGTACAACTATATGGTCGCCCTTTGCGACCCTAGGGTCCCAGTTCAGCAAATCCTGGAACACGGTTAAAGAATGGGTGGCCATCGGGGCCCTGTTTATTGTGGTACTCTTGTTTGGTTCTGGGCTACTTCGCCTCCTGATCTCCATTATACGCCGCCATAGGCAAACGCAGCTGGTGGTTAAACAAGCCATGTTAGTGATGCACAAACAATACCCCATGACTAACCCCCAAGCTGGAGTGTGGCTTAGCATGTTGGAACAGTAGTCAAAGACGGGTAAGTTCTGGGAGGCATGCCGAGCAACCTAAGACAGGGCGGAGGGGCATGTTCCCCCCCCCCCGACCCCATGACAGGTATGGCGGTATTGCGTTCCTGGTCGCCTAAGACAGACACGTTTCCACGCCACCAATTTAAAATAAAGAAGGGGGAGATGTTGGGGAATAGTCTATGGCGGCATTGCTAGGCAGAGGTTTTTAGTTTCAGTTTTGACCGGGGACTTTCCAACGGGCAGGGCTCTCCAGAGGTGGAGGGATCAAGGTCGCAGTAAACAAGATGGCGCCAGGATCCCCGTAGTGAGTCTGCCTGCCTGCCTGCTGCGTGACACCTCACCTGATTGGCCGAAGGACGCGTGCCCTTCACGTGAACAGAGACCGGATGGACTCTAGCTTGCTTCTGATTGGTCACATTTTGTATATAAGCCGCGGGTGTAAGGCGGAAGCTCTTCTCTCTCTCCTCTCCTTTCCTCCTCCCTCTCTACCTCTGTCACGTCTACTTTCTCTAATAAAAAGTCTACTGAAGACCGATAAGCGCCGTTCGTTCTTTTCTCGCCCGAGAAACCGTCCTCGCGGGCCCTGGGTTGAGTCTGCTGGCCAGACTCCCCGAGACGCTCGCGGCAGTGAATATTTGGCCACTTTTACTTTCTCTCCAGATTACAAAATAATTGTTGACACGGCTGCATTTCCACTCTGTCCTTTGGATGGCTACAGATATTTGAGCCACTCTTCTGTTATTGGATGTTTAAATGTCCAGTTTTTATCATTGTTATAGTCTGGGATGGGATAACTGTATTTGCTTGCAAATTTTGGTGTGCAACCATAATTATATCCTGGTGATAAAACAGGATTTTGGTTCATATCCCAAATGGTTGCAATAGCTGGGAATGATCTAGGCTGAAGTCAGGAGCCTAGAACTTCAACTGGGTCTTTCATGTGGGTGGTAGGGGCCCAAGTATTTGGAACATCATCCACTGCCTTCTCAGGTACATTTGTAGGAAGCCTGGTCGGTAATGGAGCAGCCAGGGCTCCAACTGGCCCTCCAATATGGGATGCCAACATCCTAAGTGGCAGCTTAACCTGTCACCCCACAATGTTGATCCCTAGTGATGAGTTTCTAGAAGTAGAATTTATGAATCTAAGTTCCCTGCTAATGCACCTGGGAAAACAGTAGAGGATGACCCAAGTACTTAGACCCCTGCCACCACCTTGGAGATTTGCGTGGAGTTCCTGTCTCCTGGCTTTGGCCTGGTTGGCCTGGCCCACCCTGGCTGTTGTGACCCTTTGTGAAGTGAATCAGTAGATAGAATCTCCTCATCCTCTCTCTGTCCCTCTCTCCATCTCTCTCCCTTTCAAATAAATAAATAAATAATTTTTTAAAAAGAGCTTTTGGATTTAAGGATATCACTGCATTGTAAATCAAGTATTAAGTGTCAATTGTACACATACTCCATTACAAACCTCCTCATCTAAATTCTATATCAGGGGTCAGCAAACTGTTATACTGGTTTGCTAACTCTTGATGTTTCCTTACATCCTATGAGCTAAGAATACCATTTATATTTTTTAAGTGCTTAATAAAGTAACAATAAAATAGTTTGGGACATGTGAAAATTATATGCAATTTGAATTTCAGTGTTCAATAATGAAGTTTTATGGGAACACAGCCACATTCATTTATCTACATATTATCTGTGACTGCTTTTGTGCTACAGTGGCACAGTTGAGTAGTTGCCAAAGAGGCCATCTGGCCTGAATACCCAAAAGTATTTAATTTCTGACTTTTTACAGGAGAAGTGTGCCAAGCCTAGCCCTACGTAATTATGTCAGTCAACAGTATAGAGGCTGGGGCTATAACCACATGGGCTGCCCTGGCTTCTACCGGTGACCTCTTCCATGGCTGATGAGTTAGCATTTTCAGGTTGGTAATTCAGGGAGATATGAGAAACATGGTCAAGCTGTAACCAACTCTAGCCCAAGACAGAATATCGACCAAGCCTCATATCTTCATTACTCTTTGCTCTCCTTTCATCCAACCATCTACTCTCATGCTTTCCTCAGTTCTGACTTAACACCTCTTTTCCCTATCTTTGCATTTTCCCAGGAAGAAACACTGAGGCCCAGGTATGTTTGCCTTTACTTGATAGCTAATGATGCAGAACATGTCACCATGTCCATATTTGCTATCCATGTATCCCATTTGCTGAAATGTCTCTTTACATTCTCTGCTCATTTTCTAATTAGATTGTTTTTACTAAACTGTTGGATTTTCAGAATTCCTTATATGAGGGATTTAAAAAGGGGCTGGTATTGTGGTGCAATAGCTTAAAAACCACTGCTTGTGATACCAATATCCCATTATCAGAGTGCTGGTTTGAGACATGGCTAATTTGCTTCTAATCCATCTTCTTGCTAATGCTCCTGGAAAAACAGCAGATGATGGCTCAAGTACTTGGATCCCTGCCACACAAATGGGGGACCTGAATGGAGTTCCTAGATTCCTCGGGGTGCTTTGGCCCAGACCTGCCTATTGCAGACACAGGGAACATGAAATACCATATGGAAGGTCTTTCGGTTGCTCTGCTTTTCAAATAAACAAATAAACAAACAAATATAAATATTTTAAAAAGTCTGTGGAAATACATATTATGAAAATCCATTATGAATCTGAAAATTTTGCACTAAAATAAAAATTTTAAAATTATTTTTATTTTATTTGAGAGACAGGAACAGTTAGCCACCACTGTTGTTCCAATCCTGAATGAGTCCTAATTTCACTCCTGGCAGCTCCACTTCTCATCCATCTCACTGCTAATGTTGCAGGAAGGCAGCAGAAGATGGCCTGAATACTTGGGCCCCTGGACCCATGTCAGAGTCCTGGATCAAACTCCTGGTTTCTGGTTCTGGCCTGGACCAGCCACAGCCATTATACTCATTTGGCAATGAACCAGTGAATGGAAGATCTCTCTCTCTCTCTCTCTCTCTCTCTCTCTCTCTCTCACTCTGCCTTTTAAATACATTAAAAAAAACTCTTCAAAGAAACAGCATTATTGAGATATAATTCACATTAGATTCACAAATCAGAAGTGACAATTCAGTGGTTTCTAGTGTATTCACAAAGGTGTGCAAATAGCACCATAATTCAATTGGCTAACATTTTGGTCACCACAAATAGAACTTCTCTGCCTACTCCTCAGGGCTTTTCTCCCCCCAGCACCAGCTCTAAACTGCTACAGTTTGTTGTCATTGTTTTTGATAATAAGTTTTCTTGGAATATGACTCTTCACCTTATATTTTCCAAAGTCCTTTCCAGCCACATCTCCCAATCCTTGCAAAGATCTCAACCCTCTTGCAACCAGTGAAAATGATGGCTCACAGTATTGTCTGCCTACTCTTGTTTATAGTAAAATAACTCAGGAGACTTAATGGTAATAGATTCTTTTCTAATAAAGCACAACATTTACAAATATCATAAACCCAGGTTTGAAATGCATATGTAAATTCTGAAATGAATAAGCATTACTTGTTTTTTTTAAGATTTATTTATTTTATTTCAAAGGGAGAGTTAGAGAGACAGAGGTACAGAGAGAGGTCTTCCACCTGGTTTACTCACCAAATGGTCACAACAGCCAGGGCTGGGCCAGGGAGAAGCCAAGAACCATCTTCTTCTGCGTCTCATGTGGGTGCAGTAGCCCAAGCACTTGGGCCATCTTTGGCTGCTGCTTCAGGGCATTAGCAGGGAGATAGGTCAGAAGTGGAGCAGCTGGAAATTGAACCGGTACCCATATGAGATGCTGGCACTGCAGATGGGAGCTTAACTCACTATGCCACAGCACCAGCCCCATTCATTGAGTTTTTAAACAGGCAACCCTTTGACTTTCGACTTGCTCCTAAATAAATTTCTGCTGAGGAAACTGCAAGGGAGAAGGAAGGGAAGGCTACATTTCTCCAAGGGCTTTTTTTTTTATTAAAGATTTATTTATTTATTTGAAAGTCAGAGTCATACAGAGAGAGGAGAGGCAGAGAGGGGGGAGAGAGGTTTTCCATCTGCTGGTTCATTCCCCAGATGGCTGCAATGGTTGGAGCTGTGCCTACGTGAAGCCAGGAGTCAGGTGCTTCTTCCTGGTCTCCCATGTGGGTATAGGGGCCCAAGCACTTGGGCCATCTTCCACTGCTTTCCCAGGCCACAGCAGAGAGCTGGATTGGAAGTGGAGCAGCTGGGTCTTGAACCAGCGCCCATACGGGATGCTGGCACTTCAGGCCAGGGCATTAACCCACTGAGCCACAGCACAGGACCCTCTCCATGGGCTTTTATCATGGGTTTGTATCAAAAAAGGCACACATCCATTCTAAAACATGGAATAGTGTTTTTAAAACTTTATTGTAATAAAACTATAAAGCACACAAATATTAGCCACATCCTCATTTTAAAAAAATACTAAAAGCAAAATCACTGTCTATACATGTTTACTCTCCTGAATCAGTTAAAAAAGAACTCACATTCAACTCAATAATAAAGAACTTTTAAGATAACAGTAAATATTCTCATATGAAGAACAGGTTCCTTTCTCTCCTTACCCACCCCAGGTAGGTCACATGAAAGAACAGGCCTCATAACATATTTAATTTCATACCTACATGAAGCAGCAATAACCATCAATAATCTGACAATACTGCTTGTAGATGCTGTAACATTTTTGGCAATTACACAAAGCCATTCCTTAGTATTGCCATGAAACAGAGACCTTACAGTCTAGAGAGTGGAGAGGGTTTCCAAAACCAATGTGACATAAATAGAAACCAAGGCAACAACTAGTCTGGATACAGCTGTGGCTGACTTGACTGAACACAGGGAAACCCAAATAAAGTTATTTAGTGTTTTATGTAAGTCAGAATAAAGAAATAAAGAAGAGGGACAGCAGTCACTTGAAGGGAAACTAAGAAAAGGTTAGTTGGTGCTTCACAGGAGAAATGAGGACCTGCAATGGCTGCTGGTGGGTGGCAGCCTACTCTGCACACTGTGTGGATTTGAGGCACCTGCTGGTTGAAGCAGCCAGGCAGGGTATCTCTCCCCACCCTGCAACGTGTGACTCCCGCCCCTGCCCCAACATCTAGTTCTGATGCCAAGTATGGTGAACCTAAGGCCAAGTCATCCAAGACGCGGTAGGAGACAAAGTCAGCGTTAACAAATGGCATGAAATGTGAGCCACAGGAGAGTCCCTTTCAGTCCTCCTCCAAGTCCTGCTCGAGCAGAAAATTGGCAGCCCACTCCTCATTCTTCTCACAAGCAAAATATGCTTCAACCACAAGTCCCTGAGGAAAGCCCAAAGCCTTCAACCTCTCTATAGCTGCCAATTCCTGGGGTGTTACTTCCACATAGCTGCCATCTCCTGTTGATGCTTCTTCGGTTCCCGCGCTGTCCACTCCTCCTCCTTCATGGCCAGCTTCTTCACGACCAGCTCCGCTGCTACCGGCTTGAGGGGGCTCGACCTCGGCCGCACTTGCCCTGTCTCCGGGGAGTCCCATTAAAAGATACTCCACGGCTCTGTGAGGGTTGTTGAAGCTGGCTCTCAGGGCTGCAAGGACCTGCTCCCGTTCGTAGCCCATGGACACGATCTCGGCGACCATTTGCTCGGAAGCCGGACGTGTCAGCCTTGCTGCCTGCTCAGACGGCTGGGCCCGAGAGGAGGGTCCCGCGATGGCGTCATCTGGTGTGGGGCTTGGAGCCCCTGGCGGGCCTGCCTGCTGCCCTGCAGCTTGAGGTGCACCAGCAGGTGAAGGCTGAGCCGACGCTGTACTGGATGCTGACGCAGAGGCAGGTGCAGGTGTGGCACGCGTGGAGGTGGCAGGCGCGGACGTGGCACGCGTGGAGGTGGCAGGCGCGGCGGGCAAGGCAGGGCCGCGGGCTGGGGCCCCAGCACCAGCCGATGCCGCGGTGGCAGGATGGGACTGCCCAGCTGTGGCTGTGGCCGTGGCCGTGGCCGGTGCTGCTGTGGTCGCCGCCTCGGGTCTGGCCACCAGGACCGTCACAGCGTGGTGCTCGTGGATCTGACAGTCTCTGAGCACAGCGTCGTCCGGGAGGACGCGGCCCGCATAAAGGAGCTGCTGCCCCGCTACCGGAAAGGCATCTCTGCCCTGCTCGGCTTCAATTTTCTCCTTGAGGGCCCTCACCGTCTGGCCGGGGTCAATGTCGATGTGGAAGGTGAGCTGCGGCCCGGCCTCGAGGGTGAGCCGCATGGCGCCGCCGCGCAGGGCCGCGGCCTGGTCGGCTGGCCGGGCTGGGGCGCGTGCTGGCCGCCGGGCAGGCGGGCGCGAGGCCTGGCGGGGCGGGCACCGCCGCGCTCCTCACACTGCCTCTGCCTCTGGCTCTCGGGACCCTGCGGGGGCGGGTCCCAGTCGCCCTGCCCAGCGCGCTCTGCCCTGCCCGCGGGGCCTCCTTCCGTGAGCCCCGGCCTCCGCAGTGCGGGCCCCTGGCTCAAGATGGCCGCCGTGCCGCCGCCAGCCCCTCCCCCACCCAGGAGTAGCCGTTGCTCCCCGCGTGACGGTGGCCGGGAGGGGCCCTCCCACGCCCGGACGCTCCTTCGCCACCCACCCGGTCGCGGTGCTCGGCCTCACTCGTCCATGCACTCCGAGCTCCCGGGGCCTCTGTCTGGGCTTCTGGTGCTTCGCAGCCTCTTTTAGATCCCTTTGGGGGACTGCTAACCTTTCTAGAACTTTCTCCGTTTGCTAACTCTGTAATAAGCTCTGGAACATTGTATCCCTTTGTGCACATCCAAGTTCTGTTCCTGCACATTGCTCTTTCTCCTTTAAATATCTGTGCAGTCTCTCTTGCCACCCAAGTGTAAGGTATGCTATGGAATCCCCCTTGTTTCACCTCACACTGTGGAAAAAACACCCATGGGCTCATTTATGCCTCAGACACCATGCTCTTAACAATGCTCTGAAAGGATGAAATCTATCTGATATAGTTCCATTTGTTGACTTGTAAAAATATTTTCTCATTTTGCAGGTAGAGTGATACAGAGAGGGACAGATATATAGAGAGGTCTCCGTGGCATAGCTCAGAGCCTACGTGTACAGCATAACTGTGGCTATGCAAGGCTGAAGTTGGAGCCAGGAACTCAACCCAGGACTGTTTGCTGGTGGCAGGTGTGCAAGCCCTTGGGCCATCCTGGGCTTGTTTCCAGGCCCGTGAACCGGGAACTGGATGACAAGCAGGGGAGCTGGGCCTCACTGCACTCTAACATGGGATGCTGGCTTCCTTAGTGGTTTGCAAACCCACTACAATAGTCCCTTGATATTCTGTTTGCATTGACCTATAGAAACTGTACATATTCATGGGATACCATGTAACTTTTTATTTATTTATTTGAAAGTCAGAGCTACATAGAGAAGGAGAGGCAGAGGCAGAGTAAGGAGAGAGAGAGAGAGAGAGAGAGAGAGAGAGAGAGAGAGAGAGATCCTCTGTCCTCTGCTCCACTCTCCAATTGGCGGCAATGGCCAAAACTGTGCTGATCAGAAGCCATGAGTTAGGAGCTTCTTCCAGGTCTCACATGCAGATGCAGGTGCCCAAGGACATGGGCCATGTTCCACTGCTTTCCCAGGGCATAGCAGAGAGCTGGATTGGAAGTGGAGCAGCTGGGACCCTAATCATTGCCAATATGGGATGCTGGCACCACAGGTGGCAGGTAAACCTGCTACGCCACAGGACTGGCCTCCATATAAATTTTTAAATATAAACTAACCACCTTTATTATTTTTTATTTTAATATGTGCAGAGACAGCAAGAAGAGACAGACAGAGTTTTCTCTTCTTACATATGCATCCCCAAACCCTGGTTAACAGGTAGGGCTGTGTCACAGAAGTCAGGAACCAGGAACTCAGTCCATGGATCCCATGTTGGTGTACTTGAGGCAGGAGACAGGGACAGACACATCTTCCATCCACAATTCACTCCTTCAGAGTCCACAGACCATGGCTGGCCTGGCTAAAGAGCATCTCATAGCTGCATTCCCACCTCACAAGTTTGTGGTAGGGACAGACATATTGACCCATCACCTGTGCATCCCAGGTGTGCATTACTATGGATCTAGATTTGCAGTGAAGCCTGGACTTGAATCATTTATGTCCATGTGGGACTGACATCGCTAGAGCAGCCTAAACTAATGCTCCAAGTGCCTGCCCCTGAATTCTTCTATTTGTTGCCTTGTGACGTGGGTTTCCAAAATATTCTCATACATTCTATGACTGAGTCCTTTTGTTACATGAGTGGTTTGCACATAAATTG